TTAAAAGTATCGATACTAATAAATTTAGGAATCGTGACGTTTTTAATTTCTGAGAATCGCGATACTTTTGAAGTATCGGTGCACCGTGCAACACTAGTTGCTTATAAGAATAACATTTTTATGCAACTATTTGCTAGTCATGACTATTATGGTGGAACCTCAGTCACCCTGCAGGAACTGAGACAATGTGGCTCGGATGAGAATCGATGAAAATCAGATCCCTGCTCCTTCATGCTATTTCCATCAGTTTTTCCATCAATAATCCTCTCAGCTACACTACAGTAAGAGGACAAGATTTTATGGTTTAGCCGTCCAGCACCTGAGGCTAAACTGTAAACAAGACCTTTGTGTGTGTGTGTGTGTGTGTGTGTAATAACCCAATCATGTGTTGGTTTTTGTTCTTACATTGCTGCTCTGTCTCATTAACTCCATCCAGGACTCCATCAACAACAACTCTTTAGGCAAAAAGGACAGCTGGAAGGACTCCCTCTCCTCCTCCCCACACATTACAGGTAAGGACACGGAAAAAACAAAACAACAAAAACAGATAAAGAAATACACACTTTTTTCATCACACAAATTTCATCTTTCTGCTTCAAATTCAAACCTTACACATTTAGAAAAGCAAAGACAGTGAGTTAATATTTTATTTGAAGGTCCAGTTTGTAGGGTTTGTAGTGGTGTTGTTGCAGATTGCAATTCCCTCATATCACCCTCTCCTTCCAAAGAGAAACTACGGTGGCTGTGAAACTGGTGAAAAATGAGAATGCCCCTATCTAGAGTCAGTGGAATTTTTCTGTCTTCTCTGGGCAACTATGACATTTCAACACTGGTTCTAGATAGGGCTGTTCCCGTTTTTTTCGTGGCCACTGTAGTTTCTCTGTGCTGCTTGGAAGGGGAGGGTGGAGAGGATAAGATGCAATCTGCAACTACACCACTGGATGCCACTAAATCCTACAAACTGGACCTGAGAGGCACAAGGGCGAAGTGAAGATGCACTTTTGCTGGAGTACACTCAAAAACAACAAGACAGACAAAAAGTACAGACAAAAACAAGTACAGCCAAACAAAGTACAATAATACAAAAATGTTTTCTGTACCTACAATATAGAGACATCATAATACTACAACAACAATGCTGAAATTCTGTCTGCAAGATACTAAAATAAAATGCTAAAATGACGTGCAAATAAGATACTAAAATACAAATTGCAAATTGAGCAGGGTTATTGCACAAGAAACAAAAAAATTTTAACTCCTTTTGCACTTGAACCTTGGTACACTAAATCTATGGCCTGAGGGGAGAGTTTCAAACTCAGGGTGCAGGAGCTGGTTTCTATAGTCCAGAGTAGGCCTTGTTAAGAACCTGCTCATGGGGCGCTGTTAACAGGTTGCAGCCCCATCAACTCCACATCTCTCTCCCTGTTTGGATGTCCACAAATGCATGAAAGTGTGTATTTCAGCCTGTGTGTGTGTTAAAAAAAAAGTGAAAAGAATGATTTCCCCTAGGGGATCAATAAAGTATATATTCTTCTTCTTCTTACCATACCATTTATACAATTTTAGAATAGAAGATAGAAGAGAATAGAATAGATCCTCAAGAATGAAGTGAAATCATGTGGATTTTTCGACTGTTCCTGTATCTCTTATCCAGGATAAACTGCTTACTGTTTGCCCCTTTGATAATCCCTCTGTATACATCAGGTTGCCTAATACATAATCTGATACTTTTATTTGTTTGCGTGTGTTAAGGGGATCTAACACCACCGGCTATTCAACCAAAACCGGAGGACAAAGTCCGGCACAGCACGCGCCGCCCCGCCCCAAAACCACCCATTGCCAATGGAGCCAACAGCAGGGCCAACACTCAGGCTGCTGCCACCACAGCAGACACACGCGCTCGACCACGGGACAGACAGGTGTCTGGGGCCACACACACACAGTCCTCCAGCACACAGAGGAGTCAAAGGAGAGGAGGAGGAGGAGGAGGAAGAGGGGGAGGAAGAGGAGTGACAGCGATGAGAGAGAGGAGCCTGGGGGACATCAGAGGAAAGGATGGAGTGACAGCAGTGAAGGAAGATAGAAGAGGAGGAAGACTGTGTGAGGAGTCCAAGGGGAAGGAGAAAGAGAGGAATGGACATCAGAGGCCAAGAGAAGCAAATGGACTGAAAAGCCGGGGGGCTGATGGGAAGGGAAAAGTAGGTGCTAAAGGGGGTAACAGAGGAGGGGGACTCAAGCCAAATAACATGCTGTCTAACCACGAAGTTTATCTGACAGCCATGGTGGTCCCACGCACGCCTGTAGCACCAAGAAACCAGGACAAGACGCGAGACAAAGGTAATAAACCCAACCTTAGAGGACAGGGTGGTGGGTACTGTAACTTTTATTTTTGCCAAAAGGAGAGTAGTTTTTTGTGAGATGAGGGTTTTAACAATTTAAAATGCTTTGTAGAGCTGAGGGAAACTGCAGAGTTGGTGATAATTCTCTCTACGTTTAGCACCACCCACAGTTTGATCCATTGTTAACATTCTAAAATATTTGGTATACTTTTTAAATAAAATACTTTTTAATGTTCGGGCTTGGGGCAAGGTATCAAGTATTTTTAAGTCAAAAGGCTCAAAGTCCAAGTAAAGTCATTGCTGTTAAAGTCGACTTGCAAGTCTTTTTTAATTTTGTCAAGTCTTCAACTGGTCGAGGCAGAGAGCCACCCACCGAGAGCTGGGGTCTGTCCGAAGTTTCTGCTTCTTAAAAGGAAGTATTTCCTTGCCAATGTCGCCAAGTGCTTGCTCATGATGGGAACTGTTATAAGGAGTACGGTCTAGACCTGCTCTTGTTGAAAAGTGTTCCTGGAGATAACTTTTGTTAATGAATTGGCGCTATAAAAATAAAACTAAAAACACACCTCTGCTGAGTAGTACTGTGAAATTTCTGGGTGTAGTGGTGTTGCGTAAGTGTAAGTGGTTCGCAAATACCTTTATTTGTGAGTTACTCCTTATATCTACCTACTGTCCATATGTTGTGTTCTTAGGCCAAAACCATGACAGGACCCAGGACAACCCCCAAGTCCTCTCCCGGTCCAGCAGCGAGGGAGGGTCAAACAGAATGTCCCTCAGCTCAGACACAGAGGGCCCCCCACCAGGGCCCCTGCATCCCTCTCTATCCCACCGAACCAACCCTGACATCAGCGAAGAAGAGGGGGACGGAGATCCGACTCCGTGCATGAATGTCCAGAATGGTCCGACCCACTGCCTTGCAGATAACGAGAAAACAAAGATGGACAATATCAAGTCAGAGGTGGATGCAGGGGGAGGAAAAGGTGACAATAACACTGAGGTGGATGGCACCAGCTCTGTCACTCAGGGAGATCGTGCTGTTGCTCAGACTGTACCAAAGAGTGAATCTACAGCAGGGTTAAATTATGACTCTGTTAAATACACTCTGGTGGTCGATGAACACGCTAAATTGGAGCTGGTCAGCCTCAAGGACTGCTTGCACGGTTACAACGAGCACAATGATGACAGCGATGCTGAGACCGTCTATCAGTCAGCCAATGAGGAGGAGGACCCAGAGTATGAGGAGGAGAGGAAGAGGAGAGAAGAAGCAAGGAAGCAAGGTAATGATACCGATTAATTTCTAACATGGCTGAGCATATTTCTGTTTTTTTGCCATCATTGCTTTTCTAAAAAGCTGCCAGAAGTAGGGTTAAAAAATGCAAACTTGGTGGATAGCCCTAGAGGAAAGTTCATTAAATGAAAGGGTTTATCCCTTTGGGAGCATGAATTTCATGGTTATCGGCCTGTTCAGACATATGGTGTACAAAGCTGACATTGTGTCTCGATGGTGGTGACTTATGGTCAAGTCAATAAATGTCCAGAATGAAAATGGTTCATCCTTTTGGAAGCATTAATATGAATATCAGTTTGTTAGGTTTATTTTCTTTTGAAAAAGCTCTTCTCGAGTAACTTCTAAGAGGAAAGGTCAGGGGTCAAGGGGATCACCAAAATCATAATATCCATGACAGATTTAACAGAAATCTTGGCAGTATATCCTATTCTGAATCCAAGAGTTGAAGAAAAAGGCAGATTTAGTGACTGACAGATAATACAATCTTTAAAAAACAAAACTTTTCCAACAATGGCTGAAAAATTATATGTTCACGTAGGATCCTATTGGTCATAACAAAAAGAGAAAATCTGTTTTCAGTGCTTTAAAAAACTACATTATATTGTTTTATTGTTACACTCAGCTTTGTAATAAAATGCCTTTACCTTTAAAATGAGTGATAAACCTCAATGTGTCATCATACACGATACAAATAGCATAAACACTTGAGGTCTTACAGTGACTTCAGCTTCATTTTTCAGTTTGTGGATCTAACGAAAGGATTTGAAAGTGTATCTGTAATCTTCAGCGGCATAGTTGTAATAGTGTAGTGCTTTAACTGTTTAATTTATTTATCCTGTAAGGTGCAACTATTTATTCAAATATTTTAATATTTGTTAAAGTAGACCACCTAAAAGATCATATTAGAGCTATCTCTTTCATTTGATCTTTCTGTAATCAGTTTAACCTTTCCTTGTTTTCTGCTCCAAGAGAGGAGGAAAGAGGAGGAAAAGAGAAGAAAGGAAGAGGAGGAGACGAAGAGGAGGAAGGAAGAGGATGTGAAGAGAAGGAGGGAGGAGGAGGTAAAGAGGAGAAGGGAGGTTGTGGCAAGGGTCTGCAAGCAGTCCAAGGTAACATCAACCACAACTTCAGAGGAAGATGAGTCTAACGGAGGAAGGGCTGGAGCTGCCAGAAGTAGGAAGTTCCTCAACCTGTTTGCCAACAACAACAGCCATTACAGTGCCACCGGTTTGTATATTCTACAAATATTCGACTGTCTGCATCACAGTTTATGTCTGCCATTTTATATTGTGACAAATAGAGAGGTAATATGATCTACGATATATTTGCACTGATATACCAAAAATAACAGGCCAAAAAAGACATGATATAGTCTTGACTTCCATTGTCAGGGAAATATATTTGAGGTCTTTTAGCTACAGGTTTGCACCGTGGAATGCTATCATTTCTAAACACAACCAATGGTCCAAATTAATTAATAATTAAACCACCAGGCCTTTTTGAATGGGTGAACAGATCTGAGACCAGAGATCTCTACATCTAATGAAAATAAAGTGTATAAATTATTGGTTATTGGTTATTGGTATTGTTGCTTTCAATCCATTCATTTTTAGGGTCCCAAAGCTGAAGGGGTGGGGGAGTAGCGACATGCATTTATGTCAGTTTCATATTTCCGCCGAGAGACACCAAAGTCGAAAGTTTAGGCCCCTAACCCCAACCCTAAACCCTAAACGTCAACGTCAAAATTAGATTACTTTATTTTGTGTTTGTTTTTTTTAATTAAAGAATGAATATGAAACAAAATACAAACTGTGAACTGTTGAGAATAACGTCAATGCTGTATCATTCAGGCGCTGGGTCATTTGGTCTGTTCTCCTGTGTTTTGGATGGAGTGGAGAGACAGCAGAGCCACAGAGCTGTCTACAGGTTAACACATATGACATTAGACAAACTCATTGTGGCATGTCCAAATAAACACATAAGACTAAACTCTGTAAATGTTTTATGGCCATTTTTAGGTTTGTCCCTCGTCATGCAGACGAGCTGTGCCTGGAAGCAGATGACCCGGTGTTAATACTAAACCAGTCTGAGGACCTGTGGTGTCAGGGCTACAACATGAGGACTGGAGCTACCGGCATATTCCCTGCCTTCTATGCCGTCAGGGTTGCCAAAGATCTTAGCCAAGGTATATTGCAAATAACTGGACTGTATAAACAGAATATCACCACCATCAACAGCATTGATAATTTAATGTTTGTTTGTGCTCCTTTCTTCTCTCAGTCCAGAAAGATGGTTGCATAGAGCAGTTCCTGGTGCGATTCCTGGGTTCAGTTCAGGTCCCTATCCACAAAGGCAATGACGTGCTGTGTGCTGCGATGCAGAAGGTACATACATACAGACACTGTACAACAGAACCACAGCATGAAGGTTGATTAAGAGTGATATATAACCTCCAGCTCCACATGGCGTAACAACCAAATAAAAGCTAATTGAGCCTTCCTAAGTCCCACCCCTTTTAGAACCTCGGTCAACTTCCTCCTTCCCTGTACTTAGATATGCTGTGCTAGACTCATCAGTGTTGAAAAGATAACCGCATTTTGAAGATGGTTCAAAGATAAAAGTGCCATATAGTTACATATTAAGTTAGATAATGTTAGCTAACTAGCTAACTAATCTAGTTAGTTTCGTTTTTTTCCGCACTTTCACTGTTTGGCTCAGTCACAGTGCTCTTATCCATCTCCTTTCCAGCCAAAAATCTCAAAAAGCAAAAGCTAGCAAACCCCCTGTATGCTAATTGCTAAATTCCAAGTGTCAAACTACAGTGGATTTCCTCTGCTCCCAAGAGGTCAAAACAAAGAAATGAGTGCAGCTGTAAGTATTAACAGTCAACCTGAAAAGGTCTTCATTCAGTTCCTTCCTTTCTTTAGTTTGATGACCTCTCGGTATCCAGACTTGGTATCCAACACAACAACAAGATTGCTGATTATCTATCTTTCTTGACTGATTGGTTGTTTTCATTCAGGCCCAGTGGATTCTTGCAAATGTGCACTAGGAGGACCCAGAGGAACCTGATTGTTTCACAGATTATGAAGTTACTTTCATACTGCAGCCTTAACTGACTAGAATGCAGTGTGTTATGTAAGTGGGGAGCCGTACCTGCTGCAGCTAATCACTGTGTTTTCTCTAAAGCCTTCACTGGGTCCAAATCCTTATTAAGAACATTACAGCACAGAGCTGTTTAGCTTCAGGCTTAGTTTGTAAGGAGACACGTTCTCGCTTTTCACTTCATGTTCTACATTTTACTTTTCACTCTGCAGCAGGTTAACCTCACTTTGTGAAATAAATCAGATTTGATTGATTCCTGTGGTAACGATCATTGTTGGAACACAAGAAGGTGTTCTTAATACTGATGAGGTGAATACAAGCCTGGTCCACACTGGAAAGTGTTGATTTTTATATTGGGGGCCATTTTATCAGATTAGAGTAGCCACACAGCCATGTGAGCCGCATGTCTCAGCTGCAACCACGCTTCAGAGTTAACGCCTTGCCTATTTTTTCTGTGAATAAAAATAGACAGTGAAAATGATCTGTTCATAGTCATATTGGCATTATAGCAGCAACATATACACCTTTCACAACAGTTTCAATGTCTATATCTGTAGAATATGACAGACAAAATACTAACACCTCCTGTATCATCCGTTTGAGATTAAAAGCTCTCTTAAATTTCTGTGACAGAATCCATTCATTTTGTTAACAAGGCTTTTATTGTATGCTATTTATCAAAGGCAAACTCAGTGTAGCAAGAAAAGACCAGGCTGGCAGCAGCAGAAACACTGTCTGTGTGAACCAGGTTCAACAAAATACAGAGGAAAATGTGCCAGGTCAGGAGTTGATGAAATGTTAAAACATGTTTCTATTTGGTGTTTATTGGCTACATATTTTTTACAATTGGAGAATGTAAGAATCACTTCAGACCTATAATATATGATAAAATAAAAAGCTGCTGTAAGGGAACTTATATAAATAACTTTTTGTCATATTTGCTGAAACTTTCACTATATTAGTGCGCGTGCGCGAAAGCTGCATGCTGCCTGTTACGTTAAATAATTTCCCCCTGGGATTATTAAAGTATTTCTGATTCTGATTCTGATTCTGACAGTAGTACATGAGACAGATAATCTGGAAACAATCAGCTTCCTCTGGCTCCTCCTAGTGCTCCTAATGACATTTAAAAGAATCCACCAGGCCTGAAGGGAAACAACCAATCAGAGCCAAGAAGGATAGTTGACAGTTGTTACTTATTCCCAGGGCGTCAAATACAGACACTTTGGGACTTGGGGAATGAGACTCAACAATCAACTATCTTCAACCCAAAGCGTCTTTATATCTTTCTCTGCTCTGATTGGTTGTTTTAGTTCAGGCCTGGTGGATTCTTGTAAATACCATTAGGAGCAACTAGGGAGCAGAGAACCTGATTTTTTCACAGATTATCCGTCTCATGTACTACTTCAGCTTTAATAAAATAACCATTATTCATTTTCATATAATTTTTTTAATTAAAGCTACAGGGAGCCAATGGAGAGGGGATACCCCTGAGCTAGTCAGCATAAATCAGTAGATAACAAACAGGCAACCAGCATTACTACCTAAAATAAACACGGAAAGACTAATAGTCTAAATGAATTCATTGCACAAAGATGTCCAATTCACCACACATTTTGAGTAATTTCTTTCCAACTAAAAACATGGCAGATGTCAATGTTAACATCTTTAAACAATATTGATTCTAAGTCCTATCTACTCCACCTTCAGGTATGGCCACTCAGAACAAATACAAACACTTTTTTGATGACTGAAATGCTGTGTTGAAACTAATTCTGATGAGCATAACATGACCCTACTGGCCAACGCTGGTGCGGATAGTCAAAGCTTCACAGTTATGTTTTGTCTGACTGACTTCCGGCTTATTATTTTACAGGTGGCCTGTAACAGACGGTTGGCAGGTCAGCCTCCCTCAGCCTGTGTGCTGGAGGTCAGTGTGAAGGGTGTGAAGATCAGTGTCCAGGACCAGTGTCAATCAGCTCACAGGGTACGTACTTCATCTATCACACCCTTTCTACTCCAGCTGTTGGAAAGGTTAAATAATGATGTTGGAAAGGAGATAATTTGCTGTAGTAACTTTATGTGTACAGTACTATACAGTGGCAAACAGCAGTAACTACAAGTACTCAAAAAAGATTGTGGTGATGTCTAGGATTTAACCTCACGCACACCTATACAAACTTAACATTTCTGTCTCTGTCTCTCTCTGTTAGGGGGACCAGTGTTTCCATTTCTTCCAGCTGAAGAACATCTCGTTCTGTGGCTGTCATCCAAAACACAGCAAGTGAGTCGAACTACTTAAGGGATTATTTGATCTGATTAGTTCCCACACACAAGAGAAATGTATTTAGCTATATTAAATCTGTTTGTTTATTGGCATTGCATTCAGATGACAATTATGTAAACTTTGCGTACTACAGCAGGTCTATGTCAATGTACATAATTTGCACATAAACCTCCACACTGTAAGTTTCCTAAGAGTAATGATGATCGTTGTGCTGCAGGTACTTTGGTTTCATCACCAAACATCCTGACCAACAGCGCTTTGCCTGTCACGTGATGATGTCAGAGACAACATTACATCCTCTGGCTGAGTCTGTAGGGTAAGAGACATTACACTCAAAATTTTATTCTACTATATTTTATATTCTATACATATCTTCTGACTTGCCTCTAGTGGTCCACAGAGCTGTCAACATACAGACTATTTCAGTAGTGAGTAATTCCAGTGAAAACTGTTGTGGAATATCCAGAGTAACAGGGAGGTTAGTTAACAAACAAACTTCCTTTCACATCTCTTGACGGAGACAAATCTCCAGGATAGATATATCTAAAAAAGTAAGGGTTCATGAACTCAAAAACAGCTGAGTGTTGAAATGGCACAGTGGCAGGGGCAGATCTAGAGAAACATTCATGGAGTGTCCAGAGGGTGGCATGGTGACTTTTAAGGGTTCAATCATAATAAAATATATCAATATTTGCTTGGAAAAGCCCCTAAATGAAGATATTTAAACAAAAAAACATTGTGACACATTAGTAAAGCACTGAATAGAAAATATGCTAAAGGTGGCATTAAGAAATCAATAGCATTGTTTTATTTCCAAATCTTCAGCCCCTTTCCATATACTTTTACTGAATCTGAATACTCTTTTTTTCATTCAACTTAAGCCTAAATAAATTTCTTAACAGTTTTTTAACATGTTATTTTCAAAATAAATGAAATTTAACACATACATCCAACATCATTTGAAACCAGACTGGAGTGTCATGACCGTGCATTTTTCATTTTTCTAATCTGTATTCCTACCCAAAGATTAAACTCAACAACACAACTGTATAAAAAGTTTTAATGCATACGTAATACTTACTGTATGTACTTCAGTAAAGAAAATGGAATGGAATGAATTCATTTTTACATATATATTTTCTTTTTTATTGCCAGTCTGTGATTTGTTCATTTTTAACAGGGATCTTCTCACTCTTCCAAGACTGCACATAGCCACTAGTCACTGTGACCATAAAGGTGGCACTACTCTATAGAGGATATAAGCTACAATACAGTATAGAATTGAGGATTTATATTATGTATTATTATTATATATATATTATTTGGAGAAGGTTATAGATCCAAGATAAAACTAACGGAAGGGTGGGATTGGGAGAGAAAGACACAATCACAAATCCATCTGCTGCTTCAGCACCACGGACAGCGCCGGGGATTGATCAATACACAGTACAGTTCCTGATATTTCAGAGCCATGGTCGGAGCCACAGATTCTAACTTGCATAAACCTCAGTCAGATATAGATAAGATGAATAAATCATATTAAGGATCAATGAGTCAGGCAGACTAGACTAAACCCCTCTGACCCTGCACTCTCTCTGCTTATAGGGGATGGAGAGGGGGGGTGGGGTCAAGGTACTGAAGTATAAGTATAGTTTTTTCTTTAAACCAAAAAAAAAAACGGATATATGTTTTGTTTTTAACCAAAAACAAGAAAACTGTCTATTTTTTTCAGTTTTTTCCAATGTCCATGAATAAAATCTAGTGGAACTTGTGTGTTCAGTGTTTGTTTTTGGTTTGGCTAAATTCAGCCAATCATTATTCCATTTGAACCCCAAAACTAAATCACTTGGTACATTCGTTTTTGTTTCTGAATTAAAATTGATAAAACCAAATTCAAAGAATGTTCCCATTTAGTTGTTTGCTGTTTTGGTTTCTCATTTGGGACAGACAGTAGAATGGAGGGCAAACAGGAAGTGGATAGGACGTGTAAAAAATTCAAAATAAAAGTACAAGGATCTATGTCCTGAGATAACTTATGTTATGAATTGGCGCTATACAAATAAAATTGAATTGAATTGAATTGAATGTTAGATAGATGGATGGATAGATATTATCTTTTCTGTTCTGTCATTTAATTTTCTAATTCTGTTCTCTGGTGTTCCACAGGAGGGCATTCCAACAGTATTACAAGGAACACATTGGCTACTCCTGTCCCACCGAAGACATCTTCATTGAATAACACCTCTCCTCCATTCACACTATGTACTGAATACTCACTATGTGCTTGTAAGCCTGGACTTACATTGCAAAGTGAACCACAGATATATCTTCATCAGAGTACTTGCATGGTGGATTCCTTTTCTTGGCTGCATCCAGTGATACAGCGAGCTTGTCCCTCGTTTGACCATGTCACGATATAATTACCTCTATGGATGGATAGGATCACATGAGATGTTCCATACAGTGAGAACAAATGTAACATAAACCTACCCAAACTCAAACACAAATATCAGATAGTGATATATTTTGTTGGCTAAAGGTACGTAACTACACGCAGATATTGGATTTAAAACTTTATGGACAGCCTTTCAGGACCATGGAGTTAATTTAACGACAGAATGTTTATATCATCAGTTGGTGACAAACCATGCTGAAATGAATAATCATTAATCAGTGAGTTTTGGCAGCTGATTAACCATTTGAGCTGCGTATCCAAAACCAGCAGTGCTTTGATGTCAGTGTGGGCGATCACCAAAGTCATTAGGAGTCCTAATCTTATGACAGTTTATCCGGTATTTATGTAAGCCTGGAGAGGCAAGTGAGAAAAATGTTTGTGTTCCATTTTCTAAGTCTGTTCCTAATTGTTTTCTCTTTTGTGTTAATAACTTAAGAACAGTTGAAAAGAATTGTTTGCAAGGATAATTTTTCTCTCTTTTCATCATGAAACAGGTGGAAAAAAAGGTTTGGCAGATGATTCTTTTTCCCACACACTCAAAACCCAAATATTTTGTGTTATTAAATTATTTAGCATTACTTCCATGTATTTGAAATGTATTTAAATTGGCACTACGAGAAATTAAAACTCACCTGGAAGAAAACATGAATGCTTTTAGTCATTTTTAGAACATGGGGTACTGGTGAACTTCAGCCTCTTGTGGTTGAAATGGTAATGGTAAATGGACCTGTACTTACCTAGCGCCTTTTTTAGTCTTCTGACCACTCAAAGCGCTTTTACACTACGTGCCACATTGAGCCTTTCACACACATTCACACAGCGATGACAAAGCCCATTGAACAGAAACTAATGCATTCATACACATTCACGGCATCGGGAGCAATTCGGGGTTCAGTAACCTCACCCTCCTGTTCCAAGCGTGTAGGAGAAACTATGGTGGCTGTGAAACCTGTGAAAAAGTCCTATTTAGAGCTAGTTTTCCCACTCGCACTGTAGATAATGGACGTTCAAGTGACTCCAGCTTTTTGTTACTTCGCACCCACCTGATGCCATTTTTAATTTATAAGATTCTACAAATATGTCTGCCATCTGCTGAGCTCATATGTTCAACATTCTTCCATTACAAATTCATGAGCTGCTGGATCCATTAATTTAAACCTTTGTCATTTTTATTTGACTGTAGCAAAAGTAAAAACAACAGGAAACAAGCAGACACACCCTTCAGGTAGTTCATAAAATGGGAGCAACTTATGCTGTGATAACAGCAGTTTGGATCAGGCTGCCAGCTCATGTGGATTCAGGTTTATGCTGTGACCCTTACCTTACTAGAGATTAGGACGTCTGTTAAGATATTATCTTACAGGTTAGTTGGGACTTACTGATCCCTCTAGGCACTTAAACGTGTTGCAGCAACCAACATGTTACAGCAGGAGAAACAATTGTAAAGGTGTAACATAATCAATAAATGTGAGCTGGAGACTAAATAAGAACACTGCTGTGTAAAAAGAGGTAGCTGGCTGCAGGATTCCTTGTTCCCACCCATGTTGATAACAAGCCTCAGTGTTTGACCTTTGGAACCAGTTGACTTTATTATAGCCTACTGTTATTTTCTCTGACTGTGACTTCAATATTGTCTGCAATGTGGAATGGTGGAAAACACATTTACTGTAAGAACTTATATCGTGAAAAAAAGTCTCGCATCAAAGAATTAAGCATTAAATGTAATAAAAGTATTTACTTAGGTGGCAACATCATACTACATCACATTCAAAATAACAACAAGTATTGTTAGAATTGTGTGCATGTTAAATGAATATATTGTGTTTATGTCAATTTAATGATTGGATCATGTTTGTTGGACATGATTCAAAGAAAATTCAGATGAATGAAATCCACACATGTTGGTCCTACAAGAACAAATACTTTCGAACTGCGTTATTCTGATTTTTGTTCTACGTCAGTGTTGTTTGTTGTACTTTTTTATGTAGTTACAATCAAAAGTTATTCTTTGAATTTACTTAATTAAATCATGGAAGGTATTTCTGTGCAATTAAAGGGCCTTCTTTCGGTATGAAGCAATTCTGTTGGGCCAACGTAATTTACTTGGGTTGGATCAACTTCACTTACTACTCTAATTTTACAACTTAAAAATGTGTTAAATCAACCCTGTTCAATTCAGTCGACTCAACCCAAGTAATCTAACTTGGACCTACAGGACTGCTTAATTCTTAAAGAAAGCATTTTGATCCTGTTTCCTATATTGCAAGTATTTTGGAAAAACCGAGGCCCTTTAATTTCTGTGCAATTAAAGGGCCTGCCACCACCTGCTACATGTTACTTGGTATGGGATAACACCTACTGTAAACTTAAACTCTTTAGCTTGTAATGACCATATCTAGAGGTGACTCAGGTTTGAAGCACAAATTAGATGACTTTAGACTCAACTTGACAAAATCTAAATACTTTGATACCTTCCCCTAAGCCCAAAGATTAAACAGTATGTTGTGTGCCCCAAATCAAATAATTTCCCTTCATCTCCTGAGTCTAAAGTTAACACTGTTCATTCTCCAGATCCACTTTGTTTGAACCAATTTGATAGCGTACAATCAGGTTGAAGGAGAGAACCATACAATAACTAACATTACGTTACTGAGCGCCAGTTGGAAAAAATTATACCAAAGATCAGGTCTGTTTCAGCCATTGTACACTAATGATCATTACAGATTCCAGATAAACAGTACACTTAAATTTGTTTGAAAACTTTTTAGGTGAGAAACAGTCAACACAGTAACAAAATCTTGATTCTGAAATGTATTACTGGATTTACTTTAAGCCACACATTATGGATATAACGATACACTCAAATCACCAAAATGAGATTGAAAACAAATTATGATTGAAAAAGTATATATAGGCTATATAATATATATATATATATATATATATATATTTTCTTTGTCAAATTATATAATTTATTTTTGATTTCTGAGGTAGATTATAAACTGCGCAAAACAATACATACTTCCCTATGAAGTGAAACTGGTGTATTTGGGCCTTGATACCACGATTATATTCCTACCAATTCAATTCAATTCCATTCAATTTCATTTGTATAGCGCCAA